AGGCTTCTGGCATGGCCCACTCTTAGCAGGCCATCCGAGAAGCCGGAAACGTCGAACTTCTTCTCACCTTGTGAGACCCTACTAGTAAACCTCCGCTGTACTTCGCAGTTCGACAGCGGAGTTACTCCCGTGCCACAATGAGGCGGTAGACCATCGTGGGGGAAGACCCATAACTGTAAAAGTTGTCGGAATATTCGAATGTATGGTAGGAACCTAGTTGAATTCGTTATAAAATTGCAAGCCACTATTCTCAATACTTTAGCCATCATGACAAGAAATAAATTTCATTAGTTTAGTCCTGCTAATGACACATATGTAATCGAAATGACATTTATGTTCAACAAACTTTATATGGGTTTGCCAGATGAGACTTCTTTTCGCAGAGGTTTCAGAGTACGTATCAGTTATTATTGGTCCCATAGGCTCACTGTGTACCACAAATTCAGCAATATTCGAATAAATATTACATGTTATATTTATATATCATATATTCACAGCTGGATAATTCATAGAGGGGGGAGGGGGGATCGCTATTTCTGTAATTTCGTGTTCACATAAACATAACCACAGAGCTCTTCAAAAAGTTTTATAACTGTACATGTATGAGTGATAAGAAACTGTTGCAATCTCATTTTCATAATTTGTTGCCGCTTGTTTATCTCTTAGTCCCTAGAACTAATCAAAAGGTAAATTATATCAAGTTTATTTCTGCGCGCGCATTGTTCACTCTTTTATTTCGTAAAAACTAGCGTGAGAAGAAGAAATGCAGGGAAGAAGTTTGGTCAATCATCCTGCTTTCTTAGGTTTCTTTGGCGGATGAAGTCATTTAACTAAATATTCCCTTTATGTGAAGATCGAAGTCTGTATGTGGGTATGATGTGGGTGGTGTATGTTTGAAAGGAAACCTTTATTTTGGAACCAAACTTGGCATATATACATTTTAGGATTAGGCAGATGTCACAAGCTGCTTTAAACAGGTTTATCTTTTGCTGGCCTTGTTTTGCATCGAGTTAGTTCATTTTCTTAAATATCCGTGAAAAATCATTGCTACCAAGCAATCCAAGTAGGATCATTTGATATAATTACTGAGTGAGAATATTACTTGCAAGGAAGCTCTTGTTGAGCCAGCAGTTAACTGAAAAATTTTAAAAGAAGGTTTTTCACGGGTTTGTAGATAGCATATGTAGCTGACCTATAGTAGTTCTTGAACAGAATTGACCAAATACATGTTTAAGTAATCAAGTTATACAACGTTATGCCGTTGGACAGGGTAGACTTGAGGTATTACTGTTACTTACTTGTTGAAGAATAAGATAGCATAGCATTTAATTCTGCCAACTTACACTATAGA